TATATATATATATATATGAAGCTCAAATGAAGGGATTACCTCTTGGTGGAAGAATCTAATTTTTTTTTTGGTGTTCTTGAAGACTCAACCCATTTTCTATGAATTTGATCCATAATAATGTTAGTGTTATCACTAAATGATGTTATATAATCATCCTTGTACCAAAATAACTTACCTTGAAGTGTATCCATGGTGGAAGAGCTCCTCCTTCTCTCTAGAAATCTATTTCAAGATGAAGAACTAACCCATTATTTCTCTAAACCCATATTTTTCACTCTTAAAATGACCCTTGAAGCTATTGAATTTGCCTACGCAATGCTGCGTAGGTTACGCTGCTATCTTGCGTAGGCTACGCAAGACTCGCGTAGCTGTTCTGCCACCTTTGAGTAAAAATGCTATAACTTCTTGTAGAAATCTCCAAATGACAAACGGTTTGAAGAATTATAAACTAAACACATAGAGCTTTCTTTTGATAGGTTATACACCATATAACTCTTCATATCTTGAGAGTTATGCTCGTTTGAAGTTAGGTCTTGTGCAAACTCACTTGAAACATTATCACATCATATAATTTTCAACTTGACTTAGCCTTAGGGCTCTTTTTAGACCATAAACCATTCTTAATGCACCTCATACATATATTATCATTATCAATTGATATCATTCAAATTATCAGTCTTGTTCATATCCGAATCAACATAATTAGCACCCGCCAATCTCCTTAATGGTCTTAAAACTCTTCGAATTTTTTCGGGGTGTTACACACGAACTTTTGGAGCAAAAACTTTGAGGATAAATTTTGAGAAATTTGTTCCTACAATCTTGTTGAGAGAGAGAGAGAGATCGTTGAGAGAGAAAGAAAAAAAAATTTGCTGTAATTTGAGAGAGAATGTGTGTTAACTGAAAGAAAGAGAGAAAAAACAAAATAGGGTATTTCACGCCCATATGGTAGTGTATACAATAAATACCTAATTTGCTATAAAATATAAAAGGTAGTTATAGATAATAATACTTTAAAATAATTTTGGTTTATAATAAATAGGGTGTGATAGTTTGCTATAGGAGGTAAAATTTCCTATTATTTATTATTGTTCTTCATTGTAATTTATGTGACATTTTTTGTTTCTCTAAATTTAAATTATATAAATTATAAATAAACTTTTAAAATTTATTTTATTTATTATATTGATATGAGAAAAATGATAATTTACAATATTTTTATATAATTTTTAATGATTTAAATTTTAATTTTAAATATTAAATTGATCTGATTTCAAATAGAGTATTATCATTTTGTTATGAAATTCAATGAATCCGCTGGAGATCTTTTTTATTTCTTTAAGCAAAAAGGAAGTCCACTTATTTAATGGTGCTAAACTATAAAAGCTTATCAAGTGTTTTACGACTTTCGAGTCCACGCACGTGCTGTTTTAATTGGAGTTTATGCTTTCTAGAGAAATTGCTTAAACAAGAGTAAAATCTACTGAACCCCTTATATTTAATTATTAAGAAACGATTTTTTTTTTTATAATATTTACTTTTTAACTATATAGAAGAGAAAGAGTTTGGACATGGTTGCTTATTTGTCATTACATTTCAAAAGAAGGGCATCTATGGAATTTCAACTAAGTCCAGTTGTTGTATTAGGGTGTTTCTTCCTAAGTCCTTACGTGTCTCTTTCCATCTAACACTATGTTTGGATCATTGCAGTCCATCATTTTATAATATATTGTATTATATTGTATCGTATCGTTTTATGGATACAATATTTGAATAGATTGTATCATTTTCTGTTGTTAAATAATATTTTTGTTGTTTGGTTTGACTGTATCGTACTGTACTGTAATTGATAAATTCACAAAAATATTCCCAATTGTTTTAAATAAAATTTTCAAGAATTACACATAAAAATAATTTAAGACAACCTCTTTCTACTAATTTATCATTAATTACGTAGCGTGGAAACAAGAGCAAAAACCTGAAAAAAAGATTAACTAATATTAGCAACAAAAAAATTTAAAATGATATAAAAGAGATAAAGAATCGAACGGAGCCTTGAATAAAAAGAACGAGCTGACTAACTCTAGAAAAGATGAAAGAAGACAAAGTAGGCCAATAAGTTGGAGATTTGAAGTTAAAAAAAATTAAAAAAAATAATAAAATAAAATTATAGAATAATAAGTACGAACATAATTGAAAAAGAAAATAGGAAACGATGCCACCATACTAAATTGTTTGTTTCATAAAATGAATTTTTTGATTTTTTCCTAACACTAGATTTAACAATCAATTTTAAATAATAATTTTTGTTTTGGGCGCAACAATACAGTACAGTGTATAACAACCATCCAAACAAGTTGTAAATCCGAGTTATCCCCATCCATGATCCATTCCAATCTCCAATTCTCCCATTCTTTGCTTCTCTTCGATCATGTGCTTCTTCTCCTTCGATCTGTGTGTGTGTGTGTGTGTGATTTTGTTGATTGTCCTATACCACCAGTACCAAGCGCTATCCAAAACATGGGAGTTTTTTCGATGTAATTGTTTATCTTTTGGACGGCTTACATTAGTTTAGGGCGGTATGTCAATTAGGGTATGGAATTTCAGTTATATTCTTTGTATTTCTATTTCTATTTATAGTTTTCGTGGGTGTTCCGTTGTCTTTACTTTATGTCTTCAGTTTTCTCTTATTTCTTTCTTCAATTTAATGAAGCTGCGTTTTTCCTGTGATTTGCTTCAATTGTTTTTGATTTTGCAAGGAATAAATCTATGAATTTATTGTTTAATTATCTTTGGTACTATAATTCCTTCTAACTTCTAAGCTGCAAAGTTACTACTACCTGATTTTCTAGATTCCTTTTTTCTTCAGAATCTGACCAGTCCATTCCTCTTCATTTTCTTTTTTATGTACTCTGTGTTTGCTGACTTTAATTATGAGCTTCTTTGTTTCCTTTGAAATATATTACGCTTCTTGATCAATATAATTCTATTCAATGAAGAGTTAATCTGCAACACATTCCCACTTAGTTAAGTTCACATTAAAATACCTCTACTTGCCTTTTTTCTCATATGTGTTACTATACCAACTTCTTTTCCCCTAGCTTTCTGCAGAACCTATATTAACATGATCTATTTTGAGAGAATATTGAAGAAGAATTTTAACTTCCCCTAAAGACATTCTACTTAAATATCATTAATTATGTTAACATATGAAGTTCACACCAGTTCATTGTGATCTAGGTTGAAAGCAACAACAACAACAACCCAGTATAATTCCACTAGTGGGTCTGGGAGGGTAGTGTGCACGCAAACCTTACCCCCAACCCCGAGGCAGTAGAGAGGCTGTTTGCGAAAGATCCTCGGCTCAAGAAGACGAAAAAAGACAATATATCAGTACCATCAACAGATATCATAGGAATAATAACAGCATCATAAAGATGTGGTCTAGGTTGAAAGCATGATAAAATATTGTTCAAGGTCATCCACTTATGTCTTTCTTTCACAAGATATAGTGTGAACCCTGATAGTAATTGATTTCATCTCCATTGGTGGGTCGATACTATGCATTGATATGTGCTGAAACAGTAGTAGCAGCAAGTCTAAGCTTATGACATGTTGATTCAGGTAGCAGCAGAAACATGAGGAGTAGAAAATTAAACGCTACTGAAATTTTATATTCTATTTATACCTCTTAACTACTTTGGACCTAATTTAAACAAATAGCATGATAATGCTTGAAAGTTGTTGAATAATTTCTTTTCTGTTGAATCGTTCAAATGCATAAATTAGCTACACTACTACTTGTGTACTTCTCTTGTCACATAGCATTTTTCTGCTGTCTTTTGTTCATACATTCTTACGACAATAATTCCTACCTTGGCTACGTCATGTAACAGGTCCCAATGTATTTGTCGAAGACCACAACAAACGAAGCTGACAACTATATACCTTGGTTGGCCTTCAAGTCGAGGCATCACATTTCATTAGTATGTGAACAGTTAGTAAATAGGTATCTTGTAAACCTCTGGACATCTTGTAAAACTTGATTCTTTAGTGGATAGTACCAAGAAGTAGTACACTTATTGAATCTTGGTATGTTTGCATTTTTGCTGGTGATCTCTTGCTTTAGGATTCTAAGGATATTTTTTTGATTCAATATATGCAATGCAGTTATGCCACACAGGGACTTGCTCATTGTTGTGAATGCAAAGGGGGACGATGATCTTATGGTAAATGTTCACAAGTCTAAGGATCTTTAAATCTGATTTTGCCAAACTAGACAGGTAAGCGCGAGCATGAGTGAGTAGGAGGTGATAAGAGGTCCACTGTTGTTGACTTCTGAATTATTGAGAAGAATAAAGGGCAACGAATACAACTTGAAATTTGTATTATGAAACATTTTGTGATTCTGTCAGAATATAGTGTTCTCATTTTAATTTTACTTATGGTGCATTGTTGAGTCTTTCACACTTCTTCATCTTTGAGTGGTAGGTAGCTTCGAAGATAGTCCGATGAACTTGGTATCTAAGGTCTATTTGATTACAATACTCAAGTTTATGCAAAATGCAAATATATTTGACTTTATTCCCTTTAGTTAATTGATATTAAATATAATGGCATTAATATAAATCTCTTTCACCACAGGTCATCACAACCTATTATATTACTCCCTCCGTTTCAATTTATGTGAACTCATTTGACGGCACCGAGTTTAAGAAAAGAGAGAAGACTTTTGAACTTGTGGTGTAAAATGAGGCACATATATTTTGTATGGCTATAAATCATTGCATAAAGGTAAATAGTTTTCAAATAAGGAAAGAGGTCATTCTTTTTGGCACAGACTAAAAAGGAAATAGGTTCACATAAATTGAAACGGATGGAGTATTTTATAATAGAAGAGAGAGTTTCGACGTGTGTTCTTAGTGGCAATAAATTGATATCTAGGGGCAGTTTGGACTTTTGGCATATACTTGAGAAGCGTGTGCTCAACCCCAAAATGAGTAGCCACCTTCAACCCCAATAGGAACCGCCACCGCTTCAATTGCATCCCTCTCGGATGCTTCAAGATGGATTTTCCCGTTCATGCTAGATTTTGCATCTTTTAACTTTTCTGCTCTTTGGCCATAACACATGTGCATATGGAAGCTCAGATCTGCGATTCTCTCTCTTTATTCTCAACACTTGACTTCCCTTTTATTTTTGCCCTTAATTTCCCGGTTTTCGATCAAGATTTCTCTATTATAGTTTCAATTTATTCTTGATCACTATTGTTATTCTCGGTTTTTATGAGCTCTTCATTATTTTTACTTTCTTTGCTGCCCTCAATGTTTGTTGGTAATGGGAATTTGATTCCTATTGTTTTCTTATTCATTGGATAAATTTTTTGTGCAATTTTTATACATGAATGCTAGTAATTATTTCTAATTTCTAATATGCACTTCAATCTCTATCCTTCAAACTTGGAGTAAAACTTTATAAATCATAAACTCTAATGTACCTATTAATACTGCTCGCAACATCGATGATGCCGACACTGCCAAAGTATCTTCATCTGCTTCCAACTTGATCTGCGCCGCCGATTTCTCTGGCAAACGCCTGGCAAATTCGAGTTGGAAGTTCTATGTGGCTCTCCCTCATAAGAATACTCGCTAAAAATAGCCAATTCATATGATGCTCATGTGTTGTTTCTTTGCTGAGAGAACTCCTAAGAGGAAGAAGAACACAAAAGAAGTAGCACCTGGAATAAAAAAAGAAGGTAAAAACTTCGATTATAGATATCTATTTCGTATATAAATTATTTCCAGTAATGTATGACTAACTGGTTTAATTATATGAAATTCTTGGTGTGGTCGTGGTGTTTCTTAAATTTATTTCCTTTGAGAGGAAAAAGAGGGAGTTTTGTATGACACACGAAGTCTGAGTAGTATGTGCATTTTATTCTTTGTTATTTTAATCGTACTATTAAGGTACAGGCTCCAACAACCTCAATATGTTGGGATTGAGACATAGTTTGTTGAAAATTTGGACTCCATAAACCGATGCACAAAAAGGAAGTTCTAGTTGATCATATTTAGCTCTATTGGCAGTTATAAAAGTGCGTTATATATTTCACGATGATGATATTTGACCAATTTATGCAGGCTGGATCGAATGAAAGTTTATTTACCGTATCAGTTAACATTTATGGGTTTTTACTTTTCGTTGAATTTACAACGAAAAATATACTAAGTGATAATTTTGAGATTTTAGTGAGCGTGAATTTTGGTGATGACAATACTTTATGAATATATTGAAAACTTGAAATGTTGAGAGTATCTGGAATACATTTATCAGCATCATTTTTAATTACAGCTTCTATCCCTGAATTGTCTACAAATTCACTTATTTAAATGGTAGAGCGTATATTTTGAGGAGGCACTTATATCTGTCCAAGCATAATTTTCAAAAACTTCATTTTTATGAAGTTTGGCGCAACTTTAGTACAAGTAATGGATGATGCAAGGTATTGATTATTTTGAATTGAGCTCAATGAGTGATGTCATGTGGGAACCTATTTCGCATTATGAAGTCTATTTCTAAATGCTATTTAGATTCCCAACCAAGTTTCACTTGTCTATCTTAAGGGATAGAATAATCTAACTATCACAGTTTTACTGCGAGTAAGAGTGCTAGTAATAGCAATGTTGATGCAATCGAAATTTCGCTGCACGATTTTTGGTGTGGATAGAGATCACTTGATTTAGCTCATGTATTTGCCTGCACCAAATATTTAGAGATATTCAAGTTTCTGCAGCACCCAAGTTCCCTTTAAGACAGGATAAAATGTCTTAGAACCATTTTCCTATATCCTTAAGCTAATGTTAATGTCCAAGATGAGACACAACATTATGACATGTGTTCTTGCACTTAGTCTTGAGGATTTGTTTACTTTTTCGTGAAAGAAACCTATTCTATGGATATTGGGCATATGGTTGTTATAGACATACTAGTTCATGGAGTGTAACCGTGTAGCCCCAAAAGGTATTATAAAATTTACTATCTAAAAATAATAATTTCTTCACTGCATAATGCATATATAATTTTTAAAACATATAGGAGCTATAAAATAGAATTATAGTACACACAAGTATAGCATATTGTTGCTTATCTCTATGATATCTAAAGAATGATCACAAGTATATATTGTTTTTTTTAGAATTTTGTACATCTCTATATGAATCTTTCTCACTACAATTGCATGAACTATAGCTTTTTGCATAAATAATTCGATATTTGAAGCTCGCTCGCCGAACTAATATGGTATATCATTGGATATATAATTAAGATGGAAAAGCATCCTCAAAAGAAAATGATATCTTGAAAGTAAATGTGAGATTTATAATTTAGGCGACTGGATAAATGGTTCCACTAATAATATCTTAACTTTTTTTGCTATTAATTTTACAATACTATGTAGAAATATTTTTGGCTTTAGGAAAGCGCATAATGTTAGTATGATTTTATTTTTGTAAAATTTCTCTCAGATAATAAGAAAGCACACAAAATGATTTTTTCAAATGATTCTAGCATGACCAGTTAAATAACTGAATGAATGTTTAAACACAGAGAAAAAAATACACTAAATAGTTCAAGAAGTTTGGGCAAACTGCATATCCAAAATTGTCTTAACGTGATTAGAGGCGGATCCAGGATTTAAACATAGCGGGAATATCTAATAGAAAGAGGGAAAAAAGGAAAAAAAAAGAATTGCAATTGTTGGTTCTCAATTTTGGGTCAGCAAACGAGGAAAATGAGCTTATGCTATATGATAAACCAGCACAACTATCCAACTTTTATGTTTGAGAGACACAATAAAATTATATAAGGGTCCTTGATGCATATATAAATATATATATATAGTTAATTTTTGCCGAGACTAATGGGTTCCGGTGACCCCTCTATCACCAACATAGAGCCGCCTTTGGACGTGATTATCATTTTTCATGCATAGGATTTTTCAAAATTTTCTGATTGAAATTAGGTGGTTGTATGCAGACACTTTGAGGGGGTAACACATAGGTGTCAAGCGCGTGCATTGCACTGCTTAAGGAAAAATGTGATTGTCTTCTGATAAGGAGGGATTTATTTCACTTTAGAATAGTTGAAGGGGTAATGGGACACCCAAAAAGTAAAAGTGAGTAGTTACAAATTCTGGACAACTTTGAGAAGTACTTATGCTTTTCCCCTAGATATTACATTAAAGTTTGTTGAGTTATCTATATCTATTTATCCTATTATGAAAGCACCAAACTTTAAAATGAAATATGGATGGACCTTTTCTTTAAAATAGTTCTTTCATCGGACAAAAGTGATTCGACAAACAAAATTAGGATCTGAAGTAAGTCTCTGCCACATTTAGATTCATGGAAAAGTTACTAAAATAGATGGAGGACTGTAGGGGACTTATTTTAACAGTCCTCTTTTTTTCTTCTTTTTCTTCTGTGATTTTCTTTCCTATACCGTTCAAATAGTTGTGCAGAATGGTCATGAACCGTATATATATATATATCTTCTAAGAGTTCTTTTTCATAAGATAAAATACATTGATACATGACTATTTCATTCCAGAATTTTTGTCTAGATTTTTAGATTTATGGTACTGTGACCAGAAGATGGATTGAAAATCAAAGTAATGTATTAATCTCCAGAGCAACCAGCGTTCTTGCACTTTGATGTTTTGACATCTAATAAGATAATCCGTTCAAAGGAGTCTCTTGCATTATTATAAAAAAGAAAAAGAAAAAGGAGTCTATGGGTATAACGTTTCCATCACAATAACAGTCCTTCAACAATATTCCATTACAAAAATTGGTAAAATCTTAGTAACGTTAAGGCGTCAATTTTGTTGGGAAGAATGCTGAACATAGAATAGAGCTTGCAGAAGTTAAATTTTTTATGAAATCCTAACTAACACTTACTTTACTGTCATATTGTCATTGCACCCACCACAGATCCGTTGATCAGTATCCCTATCTTTAGCTGTGATGTTTAGCTTTATAGGACGAAAGAATTTTAAATAGGGTAAAAAACTATTAGATGAAATTCTTGTAAGAGTTCTAATTAAATTCATCTTTTCTTCACACCTTTATTATTTGACTTCAAAATCTTAAATTATTAGCCATATATAAATTATTTAAAACCTCTATTACAGAAGTTCTTGATGATATATGCTCTTTTCATCAATTTGGTTAGATCTATTGAGATCAAAACTCATGTTGTCGAGGAAAGAAATTTAAAGAAATACCACCTTGATATTTCTTTTTCTTGATATTGGAAATTAAAACAAAACCTAGCAATTAAGAGTCCAAAATTGAGCATGCAAATCCTATTTAATTGGTACTATAAATGAATGCCGGAATAAAAGAAATAAATACACACACAAAAAAGAAGAAGATAAATACA